CATGTGTGTTTTTTTTTATGTGTAATGTCTTTACTTATATTGGTGAATAGACTCTAGTGAACAGGACTTACAAAGAGGGATTTTTAACTGGATAATCAAAGATATATAAAAGACGCTTTGCCGTAAACTGATTTCGTTGTGACGGGAATGCTGTTTGTGTCTCACGATGGCTTGATATCATTCGTGAGGGATACATTTGAAATATATTTCACATATTATAGGCCAACAGGACATTTACAGCAGTTTAAATACGAGCGATCACTTTTTGGCAAATACCGGAAGTCAGTTGCCTCCGAAGCCTTGGAGCCTGCCCCAATCGATACGTCATAGCTCGCAATACAGGAAGTAAACAAACCAGACCGAGGAGTTGACGCCGAGAAGCTCACGAGACCTGTCGTTGAGTGCTGGACGGCTCGTGCAGGGTGTGTGTCTGTTTGAGCTTGCGCTGTAGTTTGTTGTGTGCGTTTATGAGCAGGCGTCGCGCGCTCCTGGAGTGACGTGACTTTGGTTCAGCACTGTAAGGTGTGTATGTGCGTGCTGCAGCTCTCTGACAAATACAGCGCGTTATCTTCATTTCAGCATCTTTACAAAGAAGCAACGATGCCGCTCATATTCCCAGCTACCTCTCGTCTCTGCTGCTGTTACTGACGCAGGAAGCAGCTAAAGGGCAGACATTAATCTGGACATCTTGCTTAGCTGCTGCCTGTCGGACGAACACCATCATGAAACATTTCTGAGCGGAGTTCGGTCGCAGCACGACAGTTAATGCCTTTGGGCTAACGCTAGTACCACCGTTAGCGGACATAAATGAGCGTAGCATAGCTACACCGGGTTAGCTAGTGAAGCATGTAAACGTTATTTACTCCCGAAGCGCGGTAAACCAGCGTTAGCTTTTAGCGTGCACGCGCTGGCTCAGCAAATACGTGCCCGCGAGACACATCGTCCCTGAGGTCAGTGAATTTTATAACACTTCTTCTATTTGCTGTACGTGAGAAGCAGCGTGGATGATACGTTTGTGTTACACATTCATCCTCTTTACTTCAACTTAACCCCACTCTGCTGGCACTCAGCTTCCCGCCCTGTTTCTGATGTTACACTCAGGTGTTCTCGTTTTGGTTCTTTAAGGAGTGATGGTACCCGGCACGCCTGATCTTCACTTCTCCAGCTGAGGCCAGTGAGAAAGCAAACCCTGCAGCATCATGGCTGAGGTGTGGGGACAGAGGAGCTTGCTGGGCGTCGGTGTGGTGTTGGCCTGGCTGCTGCTGTTCCACCTGCTGGTCAACATCTGGCTGCTGTGTGTCTTCACCAGCCTGCTCTTGGTGCTCTGGGGCTGGCTCGGTTCGCAGACTGTTCTTGAGTCCAACAGTGTGATTCACCTGGAGAGGTTTATCACCTGGGAGCAAGTAAGTCTATAATTAATGATGTTGATGTTTTACAATATATGGATGTGATTATAAACAGTTCGGGCTAAGTTAACCAGACTCCACTCATTCTCCCTCATTATGGTATTACTAATTTTCAGATTCCAAAGTCTGAGGAGGATGAAAATGATCTGGACCAGGAGATCCACAACACAGTGAAGAAAATCATCAGAGACTTTGTCACCTCCTGGTACTCCACTGTGTCCTCTGAGAGTGCTTTTGAAACAGAGATTGAAGAAGCCATGATCTCCATGGCCATGAGGCTGAAACTGCGAGCAAGAACAGCTGACAGGAAGGTACCGAGCTTTGAAGGAGCAGGGAGCTTTCACAAGGTCTAACAATGTGCTTGCAAGAATTTTCTGTAGTTAATGTGAAGGCCAGGCACACTACAAGTACTTGAAGAACAAGTGTTTGTGTTAACCTGCTTACAGTTGTTGTTGTTATGGATGAGGAGCACTTGTAAATGTGCATTAAAATCTGTAAAGAGATTTCCAAAAGTCTGGGATGGTTAAAACCATCTATTAAAATAATGTATACAGTA